TTACTCCTTTCCTCTTCTTGAAGTCTTCGATGCTGCAGGCTCGCCTCTCTCTTCCCCTTCTGCAGTGGCTGAGGTCTGGAGATTTCTGAACCAAACTTGCATCTTCAGTTCTATGGGTACCCCCAGCTTCTATCTGCGCCCGTTCGCCTGGAACAGGGGAGATATGGGAACTGCCCCAGCTGAGTCTCTCAGTCAGGTCCCCTCCTCGCCTCTCCGTTGTGCTCTTGAGTCTCTGGGTTTCTGGGAGAGATCAGGTTTCTGCAAGAATTCCACGTGTTAATAGAATCTTTAAATAATGGGTAGCAGTTATTAGTTTGATCTTTCCTGTGTTACCACCACCCCTGCCCACGTTCAGCTTCCCTACTTCTCATATGTTTTCTCCCATCTTTTAAACTTGTCTTTCAGATCGGTTATATTTTGCTACTTTAAGGAATAGACCAAAAAGCACAGTAAATACCCACTATTTCTCCATCGATGAGGAGCTGGTCTATGAAAAGTAAGTTTCTATTTTTTTTCCCCCCTCAACCATTTAGCTTGTTGGCTCTTTGGTGAGGGAACAACACTATGTGCCTCTATGGCAGGTTTATGCAGTTTCCCCCAATGGTGCAAGTAAGAATACCATTTTCCGGAAGACTCAGATGCCTGAGGAGAAGTGCAGAGCAAGTTAACATCATTTGAACCTGTCGACACCCCAGTCCTTTTAGACCTCTGTCTATATTAGCTCTTCCTACTGCCACCACAAACTGCAACCCTAGATACCTAACACTCCCCAGAGTAGGACCAGGGAGACACTGTCCTTGCCAGACTCTCTAATTGGCTTGTGAATCAGCCACCCAGTATTTATGGAGCACCCACAGAGTATAGGGAAGCGTGTGTATTACAGGTGCTTCAGCTTTACAGTTCACAAGGCTCCTGTTGTCTCTCAGGATGTTTTCGTTTCTGCGGCTCATTTTTGGAAAATGGGACCTGTTTAGCTGGAGGTAGCTGTATCTAAGTCATATCTATGAGTAAGATTTTACCTGTACAAGAAATTACCGAGTTATTTTATTTGGTTGCCCCAAGCTTCAGAGTAGTACTTTCTTTGTCTTTGAGGAAGTGGTATAGGAGTGCTGATTTACTTTCTTTGGTTACTTTGCTTCTTCTATGGGAATTAGGATTTGAGAGTGTAAAATAAGAATAGGGAACTGTTGTTTGTGAAAGACCAATAGTTTACAGGAAAAAATATCTTAATACTTCAAGGGTAACAAAAATTTAATTGAAGAGAGATAAATCTCTGTTCAATAAAAGCAACAGATAATAAGGAATAAGAAGGCTGAATTGACTTGATTACGCTCTCATTAAAAAGAACTGGTGTTTCAGAGTAGTCCAATATATTCTAACTTAAACATTTAACTTTACTCTCTTGTTGTTAAACCAAACATGCAATTAAATGAACATAGTTAAATGAACCATAGTGACCCTCATAAGCTTCCTAGGACTTGTCCTGTTAAAAGGGATTTTGGCGGTTCTGCCTAATTTGTGGGTACCACCAAGGCATTTGAAGAGTGAGAGTATTCTCGACTTCGAAGAGTGTATCTTTTACTTGAGGGCAAACCATCTTTAATTGTCACTTCATCATAGGGATTCTTGAAACTGATGTCTTCAGGACATTTCTCTTAGTGGTACTGGGGGCAGGATGCTTCTTGAATGGCTGAAGTCAAAGTGGGAATGAAAGAGCCCTTTGCTGCTGCATATAAATGCTGCCGGGAGGAGGTCTAAATCCCTGGTGTCAGATTGCAGCCATGCTCCTAGACGGAACAGAGTAATGTGTGGCCTGCTCCCCCGACCCTACCCCGTGTACCTGGCTGATGTCACTGCTAGCAGTGTTTATTGAGTGTTCACTATATTGTTGGGAGTGTGCATTTTTGTTGCTTTCTTTTAGTGAGTTTCAGGTTTGGGGACCTGACTCTTGTGAGTCTGACAGTAGGGACTGTGTATGTGCCATTATGTTCCACTCTGCAGTGGCTGACGGGCCAGAGGTTGTTCGGATGTCATGGAACAAGCTTCAGTCATTGAGGTCTGAATTGCTTCTTTAGAGATTGCTAAATGGTATAGTTCTAGCAGAAAATTACACGTAGCCACCGAACGCAGCGCTCAGTGGTTTTTTGATTGTAGTATTGATATATGAAGAACATTTTTTTTGTGCATTTTAAGGTTGGTATTTTAGGATAGGGCTACAAATCATATTCCTCTTGTATTTAAAACAATTTTTTTTTGATAGATGTTTGAGAGAGAGAGAGAGAGAGCATGAGCAGGGGAGGAGCAGAGAGAGAGGGAGACACAGAATCCAAAGCAGTCTCCAGGCCCTGAGCTGTCAGCACAGAGCCCAATGTGGGGCTCGAACTCACAAACCATGAGATTATGACCTGAGCCGAAGTCGGACGCTTAACCGACTGAGCCACCCAGGCGTCCCCACATTCCTCTTGTATTTATTCACCTGTGTTTCCGGTGTCTTGTAAAGAAAGACTTGTTGGAGAGACCATTCTAATTATATTGTGAGTTTTGATGTCATTTCAAACTATAAAGAGGACTCTGGCCTGGGTAGAGCATATACCTCTTTCAGTTTGGACGTGCCCAGCTACCGTGCCAGTGCAGTGGCTGTGGTTCTGATTAGCCATCATTCCATCTTTTTTTGTTATCCCAACATGTTACACATGCTAGATGCTGGAGAGGATACAGCGGCGATGGATGCACATAATACCTTCGAGGAGCTGCACGCCTGTAGGGAGGATGACAGCAGTGCAGTCAAAGGGATAGAAAGAGAACTGACTTTAGGTTAACATAGCCCCTGTACTAAGAAGAGTTCCCAGGCAGGTGAGAGCACATTTGATTGCCGTGTTTAGAAAAGGCTTCGTGGAGGAGTTACAATTGGTTTGAAGAACAGACAGAGTTTTATCTGGCAGAGATGTGAGAGGAGAGATCCCAGAAGCAAGAACAGCAAGGATGAGGAGGGAGGCTCCAGAATGGATTCAGGGAATAGGAAGTCCCCCAATTAGCCTGGTGTGTATGCAGGTCCAAGGGGGGTATGCAGTATGAAGTCAAAAGGTCAGTGGGGTGCAGATTGAATGCCAGGGTGGGGATCTGCAGTTTCCTTGTATACCATTGGACCCTTCTGTGGGTTTTGGGCCAGTCCATGGTATAACTGGATCTGGGCTAATTGCAAATAGTGGTAAACATTTATTGAGTGTTTAAATGCATGCTAGTTGCTGTTCTAGGTGCCCCACAATGCTTAATTATTAATTCATTTTATTTTCACAACAATTCTGTGAGGCTGGTACTATTATCCTTAGCGTGCAGAGATGATGAGAGTAGTGTACAGAGAGGTTAGGGAACTTGCCCAAGGTCACAGAGTTAAGATATAGCAGAGCTGGAATTTGAAACTGAGCCCTCTGGTTCTGGAGTACATCTGTCTTCTCTCAAAAAGTTAGTAGGATTGGGGCGCCTGGGGGCTCAGTCGGTTAAGTGTCCGACTTTGGCTCAGGTCATGATCTCACCCTTTCTGAGTTTGAACCCTGCATCGGGCTCTGTGCTGACAACTCAGAGCCTGGAGCTTGCTTCAGATTCTGTGTCTCCCTCTCTCTCTGTCCCTCTCCTGCTCGCACTCTGTCTGTCTCTTCTCTCTCAAAAATAAATAAACATTAAAAGAATAAAAAAAAAAAAGTTAATAGGATAGCATCCTTAAAACGAGTTAGGGTGGAAGTAGAAGCCCACTTAGAAAAATTGTGGAACGTTCAAGGGGAAGAAATAAGTGCCTAGATGAGGATTGGTAGCAATGGTGATAGAAAGAAGGGATCTGAATCCATGTGACTGGCAGTAGATCAGGTGGGTGGGTTGAGGGGTGCTGAGGAAAAAGAGGAGGTGAAGAAGGCCTTAAGACAGCCTGGGTCCTGGTGAGCCTGCTGGGACCATTAACTGAACAAGAAGTAGGGCAGAAGAATCGGCTTTAGTGGGGAGATCAGGCATTCCATTTTGGTCAGGTTGAATTTAAGGAATTTTTTTTTTTTTAATGTTTATTTATTTTTGAGACAGAGAGAGACAGAGCATGAACGGGGGAGGGTCAGAGAGAGAGGGAGACACAGAATCCGAAACAGGCTCCAGGCTCTGAGCTGTCAGCACAGAGCCGGACGCGGGGCTTGAACTCACAGACCGTGAGATCATGACCTGAGCCAAAGTCGGACGCTTAACTGACTGAGCCACCCAGGCGCCCCAGGAATTTAAGAGATACCACATAGACTTGAAGTTCTTAAACTTGGGGATTTTTTCCAAAAGAGATGATAAAACTGAGAATGATGTGATTTCGGGGGAGAAAGAGAAGATATCAAGGTCTGTATTTCACAGGCAGGGCCAGGAGGAGGAAGCAGGGGAAGGAGGAGGATATAAACAGAGGTGGACAAACACTGGAGAGAGAGAAGAAAGGGAGGAGGGACAGAAGCCTGGGAATCCATCTTGTCAGCTCTACTCCTTTAGGATGTGTAGAATGAGATTGCAAAGCCCCTAGAAGAATGTGTAGTAACCTCTGTTCTGTCTATGGAGGAGGTCTTGTGGTGGGAAAAATCTTGACTATCGTATCATAACGTACATGTCTCTAAGGAGAGGAGTATGTTTATATGCATTGTCACACAGGCCTTGTGCAACCTTGTAACTCTGTACTTATTTGTTGAATGTATAAATGAAATGCTGCCTTTCTGGCTAAATTATCACCTTGAAAATGCAACTATTATTTATGAATCAGTAAGTAGTCTCTTTAAACATTAGGCTGTAGGTACTTTGGACGCAGCTGTGTTTTGTGCAGGTGTTTAGTTAGTTCTAAGAGGATGATAGCACTCCATGATTGAAATGGCAACCTTCTGAGAAGCTGGTGGAGAAAACTTAACAAAGTGGCCTCATGTGTGGCTGTTTATTAGAAATGAGAGTCTGAATTTTCTGCTTGATCTTAAAACAGAATTTATCACATTAATATAAAGGCTTGAGCAGTTTTAGTAAAATGTGGTTGATAAGAAAGCCATACATTTGTCCTTGGTTAGGATTTCACAGATGAGAATAAAAATTAGAGTATGAACTAACACACTTGTGGCACAAAAGTAGCCCAATAAAAAGAGAGCCTTTCAAAGATTTATCTGTATTTGATTAAGGTACAAATACTACACAACTCTCCAGAAAGGCTAATTCTTTAGTTTTGGAATTGGGCCCTGTAATCCAAATAGAGGCTTACTTTTTTATAACTTGGCTCAAGTTTTTTTGGCTCAAAAGTTAGAAAAATGAAGTATGTTAATTGTTATAACCTTTGCATGCCCCTCCTGACTGTGATGATGGGTATAGGGTTGGATGTTAATGCATAGAAAGCCAGTTTGCTATGAAGGGTGGTGTAGAGGGTGTTCATTTTTAGCCTTGTCCATTTTCATCTCTTCTCTCCTTATGTTTGCAAAGGAAAGGTGTTGAGAATGCAGGAGAGAACTT